GTTACTTGAAGGTTATTTCCTTTATTCATTTCTGTTAAAAAAAAAATACATTCCTGAAAAACTGGACGTTATAAGAGAGTCGATTGTATATTGTTAGAATTCATAATTAAATTTTAAACAAATGAAAATTTTGTGTCATTAAATGAATCTTAATTAAACTGATTTAAATCCTAAATTAGAATTTAATACTGTTAAATATAGGATCATGCATAGTATAGTATCTCAGTAACAAAATATTATAGTTAATTGTTATATATAACTATATATAGATTAGTGTTATAACACTAATCTACGTATAGGTAGTTTAATATATCACTTAACTTTTATATTTTATATATAAGCTACATGTTCCTATATTTTGGAATAATTTTTATTATTGTATTCGAAGAAAATAACCATATATAATTCAATAAATTATATTACAATCAAATAATCAAAGATTTAAAATGAATTACTGATTTATAAAGAATCTAAGTTCAAAACAAATGATTTTCTTAACGATTTAGACAAGAATTAGATCTGTATTTTCGATTTTGTTGGAAACATTCCAAGGAAAAAAGAAATGTTTGTCGATTGTAAAAGAATTCTCTGGGAAATGGAGAGAGAGTGAAAAACTTTGTAACGCAATTAAGCGGCAGCGAATGGAATTGAGTTGGATATCTCATACAAGATACAACCAATTACTAAAAAGAAGATTAACCAAATCTGAAGTCTAAGAACGTCTTATTATTCTGATAGCAATTCAATGAAACTTTCGATCGATTTTCTAACTTTCATAAATTAGAAATTAACGATGCATTCGAAAATTTCTTTAAAGATTTTCCGCTAATTACCATCACATAAATGAGTAATAATAGAAATTGTTCGTTAATTATTAATAAAGCATTTAATTATATTTTAAAAGATGTTAAATATATTATTAAAGAAATCGATAATTAAGTTTAATTTCATAATTTGAAACTCATATATTTTTAAATTTACTTCTTTTGCAATAAAATAAATCAAACTAATGATCATTTTGAAGTTTCCAAACAAGAGGCACCCCAGGGTTAAAACAGGAGAGGCAATTGATCCTTCTGAGATTTGTTGTTATTTTTCGAATGGGAATTTTATAAAGCAATGATATTTTTATAAGTGTAAACATTTATTTTACACCGAAGTAATTACAATTCTCGAGCGAGAGATAGTCTCTTTTGTTTTTACACAATCAACAATCTTATGCAGGCACTTATTATTTGGAATACTCCACATTTTACATAATAGTTGGAGTTTTATACACACAGTTGTTATTGATTCTCATGAAAATAGATGAAATAGAAGTAAAACAATTTAATAAACATGATTTTAATGAATTAATTGGTTATTTAGTTGATTTAAATCTCATATGTTTCTCTCTCTCTCTCTCTCTCTGACAAAATCTTGCAGAAACAAAATTATATTCAACATACTACATTAATTTTTTTTATATGATTAAATTTTTAGGTTAAAACATGATATGTAAACTTTAAGAAATCCTAAACAAATTTAATAAAATAAAAATTCTGTCAGTATTATAATATTGAAGTAAAATAGGAACGTTATAGATAAAAAGTTCTTGAAGAGCCAAAATTTAAATTTAAGATTCTCAATTTTTTCAATTTAAATTCTAATTTTTTAAAAAATATATTCAAAAGATAGCGGTTTAAATTTTAAAATATAAAAATATGTGAGGTGTGGAATAAATATTTTAGTACTTATCTGATAACAGGAAAACATTTTGATTGCTAAATTATTCATGTACAGGATATATTTGAAAAAAAAAATTGATCTTTTAAATATATAAATTTGCCCTTTTTAGATATACAAAGGCCCTTCAATAATTTTTAAAATCTATAATTATATCATTGAATAAAGTAATTCAATATAATTTTTATTGTAATGTTGAAAGGAACCACAGATATAAGCAATAACCACTTATATTTGTGGTTTCCTTTAACATTCGGAAATATTTATTTTTAAATTAAATATATAAAGCTTTATATTTCTAATTATTTTATATCATTATTGCTTTTATTGCCTAATACTTTAAAATTATAATATCAAGTTTGTAGGGTTTAATCTATATATACGTAGCATATATAAATTACTGTATATTTATTTCTCTGGTTGCGTATATTAATGATGATGATAAAAGAATAAGTTATATTTGAATATAATTATTTACGAACCATTTAAAATATATATTTTTAAAGTGATTCTTATAATTAAAAAGATATAGACTTTAATATTTTATACTTAAACTAATAGTGATTCTACAGTAAATTTAGTAAATAACTATAAGAAATGCTTTAATATATGATAAGCTGTATATTTAGAATATACATATACAACTTATATATTAAAGCCTTAATAAATTATAGTCTACTACTTATTTTAAATATAATATATTTAAAACAATTAGTATTGGTATAATTATTTAAGGCTAATTGTAACCTCTTTGGTAATGGCGTCTTCAGCAGATGGTGTTAAAAATGTAATAAAAGGGCTTTTATGAGAAAATCCTTATATAAAAATTCTCGAAAATGAAAGCAGATAGAACTAAGCATTGTTTTTGAGTTACAATCCTACTTAATTATTCTAAAAAGCATTAAATTTGTATCGCTATCTGCTGAAGATAGCATGCATAACTAAATAGGTTACAATTAGCAATAAGTATATCTTGAAATAAACTAAATTTATAAATACAGACATAGGTAATTATATATATATACATTGTATAAATACATTATATATAGAGATACTGTAATCAAACGAATCGTCCAATTGCTATCATACGCTCATCTCTCACTTTAATAAACTGAGATTACGATTATGGAAATAGGAATTTTAACTATATAACATTAAATTTAACAATATATGGCCACAAATTAACCGTTTACAACATTATATATTATAATTGGTAAAAATTTTCTATCATAAAAAAAGAAGAAAGTTTATTTTAGTGTAATTTTTTTGCTAGTCTGTGTGGTTATATAGATCAAAGTTCATTTCCAATAAGAAAATCTCAATAATGACCCCAAGCTTCTAGGAAATTAGAATTTGATTTATAACAACTCATTTAATGACGGTTTTCCGAGAAGCAATTAGGCTGTGAAAATGATCTATTGTATATATATACACACACACAATAGGTAGTACCTGATTTTCGTATGTAAGGAAACGTCAGTTAATTAAGTGTACAGTTTAAGGAGAATAGACATAAAAAATACATCATTGTACAGAATGAGCTGGGAGTGAATCGAATATAGTTCAAACACTGTACAAGTGTCGCTAATATGTTCCTAAGTATGCATATGAAAATCGAACAATAGAATTACATTTTATACAGGATGTTAACTCCTTACAGAGCTGAAAAGAAAAAAATTATAAAAAATCATTTATTAAAGTAGGATATTTCTAGTTTTTTTTCAACGAATACGTTACAATGCATAAAAGATTATTTTAATATTTTAAATCTACAGATTAAATAGAAAATATACAATAAAAATGAACTTTTACAAATGAGTTTGATATTAAAAATCGGATAGAATTTTTATTTTTTTGGCAGTTTAAAATGTATAATAGTCCAAATTTAGCATTTATAAAGCAATTTAGGGATAGCAGATATCATAATATTAAACACCAGAAACCTGCGTAATTCGGAAATATATATATAATTTCTTATAAAATGTAAAGAAGATTATAAAGTAATTTTAATTAATTTAAAATTTAATTAGTTAATTATTTTTAATGTCACTGTTTTATTATTGTAGTCCTTAAGTTTTCTGTGTTAAAACGCCATCTGTGATCATTTTCAAAAAATATTTCAATTAAATTTATACTTTGGAGTTGTGATTCTAAGCTTTAAAGGATTTATATTTAAAAGATATATTTAATAATGTATAATGTAAATTGAAATTTATTAAACCTGTGCATTAATTTTGAATATTATCTTATTTAAATTTGATTTAAGAAGTTAACTTCTTAATTTAACTTTAAACTTCTTTAATTCGATTTAACTCGGTAATTTAAACACAGTTTCGTTAATCCTATATTGTTTTAAATTGTCTCCGAAATGAGATGCTAAAATTTTCAGTTTTATTTGATTTTATAATTAAAATTATGTAAAAATTCTCTAATTTTTCTGACACGTATACGTTTGTGTACACAGTAAAACCTGTCTAAAGCGGAAAACCTGCCTAAACGGAAAAATTTTCGGTTTTATTGTATGTGTATCATTACGAATTCCTTGCGCACCATAAATAAATACGAATATCCACTGCTTGAGAGAGATAAGATGCGCTTATGTTAGTCACAAATGTGCGGTCACTCTACCTTCAAAAGCCAATAAAATTATAAGAGTTAATGAAATTCTGTTTTATTTTATTATTCTTCAAAAGAAATTAAATTAACAATACTTTTATATCAAGTCTTTAATAGAAAAAACTGAATTTTCAGGCTTTTTGTATTCAGAGTCGAGCTACAGTACTTCTGAGGGTCGTCTTAGCCTAAGAATACTTGCATTTGAGATATAAAATTTGAAATTCCTTTGTACTCCTATGTGTTCATATTATTGCCAAATCTGCTACAGAGTTTAACGTTTCTATAAATATTTTAAAGTATTCTGTTTCTCTTTTTCTAACATTAATGTTATTAATATTAATTAAATGTTTCCAAAATAAAAACGACATATATTACGAAAAACAAACCAAATGGTTACTTATGTTCCATACAGGTTCCATAGAATTGCACGTTTTATTCCAATATTTTAAAGTTTTATTTGAGTTTACTCAAAGTTAATAATGATATTCTAAAGTAATAACAGTATACAAAACTTTAATAACAAACACTTAATATGCTGTTACTGGTTTTTACTCTAAAATACCATCGTTAACTTTCGACTAAAATGGCTTGAATTTAATCTTTATGAAGAATGGTTTAATTGAAATTTGGGTATTATACATTTTACTTTTTATTTCTAGTGATTGTAGTTTGCGCTTCCCCAGACGTTGTAAGGAATATCATGCTGGCTGCTGATAGTATAGGTATGATAGACATTGGTGAATATGTATTCTTCTCTCTGGAATTATTCAGTAGGTAAGTCTAATATGACATTTCTATGTGAAATTAGTTTGTTAGATATTTAATATAAGGAAAAAGATATTTTATATTTAATTATTCATTGAGATTATACGGTATGTAATATTATATTAACTGTAGAAACGAAGAGTTGATTTTATTTGGTTTATTTGTATACGTCAACGTCAGTGGAAGATCTGAGGAGGATGATGCCTTTCTGTGGAACACTAGCCACTATTTAACTATTACAAACGTGAAGAAAATCCGGAAAACTCCACGTGGCCAGCCAGTTGTCGAGGCCTGAACCCACGACCAGTGTTCAGTGGTCTTATCCACTCAGCCACTGATGGGCAACTTGATTATATACAGTGAAATTTCTATAAAGCGATTTCGTAATGCGTCAATGTCTGTGAAGGGCCTTAAATATTGTGTAGACCTCGTTAAATGTAACTTTTATTGTATAAAGTACTTCAGTTTAAAGCCAAACTCGATTTAATATCAATTCCATAGACAAATAAATGGTGGCGCTAACTCGAAATTTTCCTATTATAAACATCACAATTAGATTTAATGTATAAATTCGTGGAGGCAATCTTTATAAATTGTTAAAATTTTTAATAATAATGGATTTGTTTAAAGTTTTATATTATATGATTACTTCTGAAACTTATCAATTTATTTTTAATTTTTTTAATTTTATGAGACAAAAATCGTAAATTTTTTACTACTAACTTTTGTGCATAATGTTTTAATGGATATTTCTGTATTTTTATAATGTTAACTTGAAAGTTCAAATAAAAAGTTAAGTTTTACTAAAGACGATAATGGCTTTCCAATACGTTGAAGAATTTAAAATTTATTTATAATGATTTTTCAATCCACTTTGAACGACGAAATGGCTTAAAGTAGAGGATAAATGTTACAGTTAAATTTTATCTTCTTTATTTTCAAATGCTTTTTTACACATTCTATCAAGATACTTTAACAGTAATTCGGTTCGTTTTCAGAATCAAAAGTTCAATAATTCTTATAAACATAACTGATTTTAAATCTTTTAAATTAAAAAAAAATTAGACGTGAATTTATACAGTTCTGATATATTTTACCTGATAAAATATTTATTTTTGCTTTAAATATGTGATTGATTTATCGTAAAATCTGACTAAGCGTAAGAAAAGACAAAGTAGTTTATCTCCGATCGATTATTTGTTCGAGAAAATATATTATAATGCTTATTACTGTCAAATCTATTTTGTCAATTCTAAATGGTTGCTGTACCTACAAGTTATTTGAAGAACTGCATCAAAATAATATTTATTGCTATCTTCTTTCTCTTTGAAAGCTCTTATACAAAATAAACAATAATTAGATTTAAGAAACATGTGATATTTAATTTTGAAATTACAGTTTACATTATTTTAAAAATTAATTTCACATAAAACACGTATGAAGCGAGATTATTTAAGTATGATTTGTTGTTTTGCGAGTATTTGAACTTTAAATTCACTTTTAACTTATTTGAATTATATTACATTGGACAGGGATGCTCAGAGGAAAATAAAAGGAACAAATTTATATAGGCACCAAGGAAGTAGGGGTTTCTATACAATACATGCTACAAGGCTACATGTTGTAGATACATAAATGAATATGAAATTTATTTTACGTTCAAAAACATTTTTCTACTGCTTCTTAAAACGTTTAGGAGCACATATATTGACTGTAATGTTTCCTTGGTTTCATTTACTTCCTTTAGTATAAAAATAGCCACCAATGGCCAAGAAGATAAAGTACTAAACACTTGTAATTGGTAGGGTGTTTGTGCCTGATCAATGGGCAGATCACAATGAATTTTCCGGTTTTCTTCACGTGTGTAACATCAAAATAAAAGCCAATTTTCCATAATATCTTCATGAGAGGCACTATCTCTTTCGCGTATCGTCCATATGTTGATGGGGCCTTATATGATCACTTCAAGCCAATTTAATGTGAAGACTTAATTTGCTGTAGGACACCAATATATATTTCTCTTAGTCCACCGTGACCCTATGTACAGCCCAAACATTGAAACCATAAAAAGTTTCTAAGGAATAGTTTTATAATTATTATTAATTAGTATTTTCTTGTAAAATAACCTGTATAATAGATAAAATTGAATTTGATATTTATCATGTTTATTACAATGTAATTGTTTTTAAACTTTAAAACTTAATCAAGAGAAAGAAAAGAATAGACTTTTTAAGCTGATAAGTAACTAAGTATCTATAAAACTATATTAGTTTTACCTGTTTTTCCTTTTAATTAACTTGCACATATGTAAATATTTATTTTAATTCACTTTTATGACCACTTAAAAGGGGTATTTTGGACGTATAAATGAAATAAAATAATATTTTATACTCAACTATTTTGTAAATAAAACATCTGAGAATAAAATATCCTTCTGAGTAATTCTTGAATTCGAGTTAATGTCGGATTCGAAGGTTTATTCGTCCAAAATACCCCTTTTAAGTGGTTATAAAAGTGACTGATTATATCCGGCAGATATTTCTAGTTTTAGCTTCGTACTAACTGATTTTAATCATGTGCACATTTTTTTATCTTATATTAATACAGTAGAAAAGAAATATTAAGGCCGTGGTATCGAGAAAATGAAAGTTTTGAGAAGAATAAAAGAGCAGAACATGCTTATAAAGCGTTATTTACTTTAACATCGTTGAATCCGACAACGAAAAAGTTTGAAGATTTTACTAAGTCCGTAAAACATGTAGCAAAAGAAGAGTTTGGATTTGATTACAAGGAAGAAGAGGTAATTTTAATCGATAAATAAATTTAAGTAATCGATTCATAGTTTGATATTACTGTATTAAATTTTTCTTTTTCTTTTTATTTATATATACATTATATGAAAAAAATAAATACAGTTTAACTAACTTATAAGATATATAGTGTGTGACATTAGCGAAGTTGCGGCCGAAGTTTTCATCTCTAAAANAGTAAGCGGCGCTCGACGTTCGACGTTCACGTTTTAGAGATGAAAACTTCGGCCGCAACTTCGCTATTGTATTGTAACAGCAGCTAAACTTCTAGCTCTCTCCTAGATAGCTCTATTTTCGTAAAGCGTTAGTGAGTGCTTTTGAACGAGTCTTTTTTTAATAAACATTTAAACAGGAAATCGTTTAGTATCTATGAATTAGTAAATACACGATTTTGAATTACAATCGACGTTGTTTATTATTATATCACGAGAATTTCTGTTAAATGTGGTGATTTTGGCTATTATTCCAAGCTATTTTTGTGAAGAGCTTTTTGGCCTTGGATCGTGTCTGTCGGTTTTTATGAATAGTGTTGACGAAGGTTTGCTTAAATGTTTCTTATTATCGAATTGTGTATTATTTCCTTATTTAATATTTTTAACACCTTTCGTGTGATTACTTAACATGGAAACAAAGCTCAATAAAACTGGGCTTAATCGATGTAAATGGATTATGGATTCCTATTGTAATCTGACGTTATGTCGCCATCTTAGTCCAAAGTTAAACTTTACTTGTGAGTACTGTTTTCACTTTAATAATTAATTTAACATTAGTTAGTTTGTTGAGTATGACCTATAGCTGTATTTGCTTAGCGATGGAGTTTCTTCTGTTAAATAATAGAAACTTTAAGCAACTTAAAATGACGTTTATGTATTGTGGAGTTTACCCCTTTCCACATGAAGATAAAGAAAAATTTCTTATGTATCAGTTACGACCAAGATTGAGCGTTGTGAATGCTTTATTTATCTGTTTAGGATGATCAGAAGATCCTTATTTCTGAAAGTAAAACGACAAAGGCAGATATATTGGAAAAAAATTTACGAGTCCTCCTGCTCTCATGCACGTATTGCATTATTACATCAACAAAGGAATTAGAAAATGCAGGCAAAAAGATCTCTGACAATGATATCTCTTATTAAACGTTCGCTCACCATCCAGATAGCTATGACTACGGACGACCCGATACTGCCGGTATCGATACTTTCCTTCGCTACCGAATACTTTTTGTACTCGATACTCCACTCGATCCGAATACACCAGGAAAGGTATCGATACATTTCCTGGTGTATTCGGATCTGACTTCGTTGCATTTTTCACAAACATGTAAGGTCTGAACGAAACCGGATTTTGCAGCCAAATCATGAACGGAAGGAATTTTACACAAGTTAAATTTATATAAAAAATATTAAATCGTTGGATATAATACAGACACATTGTTATACATTATATAAACTGTTTGAGATACGGTACTTTACCATTATATTCGATTTAGTGTCAAATTAATAACAAATGGTTGTGCTAAATCGAAATTTGACTATATAGGCTATATATATAATAATTACAATTGCAATATATATGATTACGTCACTTTCAGGTAAATAAATTTGTATCTGGATTTTACGAAGCAATAATACTCTACTCCCTTTCTTTAAATGAGACATTATCTGAAGGATATAGCATTACAAATGGGTCTATCATCACGCAGAAAATGTGGAATAGAACATTTCAAGGTAATACCTTTAAATTAATTTTAGTTTCATATAATTAACTATTAAATACCATTAGTTATTTCTTCTTTTGTTATATTTTAAAGCTTTCGAATCCAATATAAGATAAATTATATAGGCCTATTAGAATATATTAATATTAAAGTTTTAATTAAAAAAGTGGAAAAGATTAGATATGGTCTGTGAAATAATTTTTTTCCTAAGAGGCTCATTTATATGTAGATATTTAGCTGTAAGAAATAAATGCATATTAGATGTTATATCAGATAAAATTTTATTGAATAATGAAATAATTTCATGCATTCTAAACCTACGATATGTTTTTATAATAGGAATAACTGGACCAGTTAGTATTAATGAAAACGGCGATAGAAATGCAAATTATACTTTAATGAATTTAAATCCGCATAAAAGAATATATCAGGTATTTATGATATAAAAAAATATTATTATAAGTTAAGAATATTATCGTATTTTACTTATTTGATTTGTGCATTATTAAAATTTATCATGTGTAATGAATAAAGTAATTTTTATTTTAGGCAGTTGCAATGTACGATGGTGCTAATAAACGATATTTAGAATTCAATGAAACAAAGTATTACTGGCCTGGAAAAAGAAAAGGTCCTCCTTATGATACACCTATTTGTGGATTTGACCGTTCCAAGTGCCTAAATCGAGGTAATGTTTGAAATCATTTTTGTATAATTTTGTTTTATTGGTTAATATACTTTGGAATAATCGAATCACAAGGGAGAACAGAACTTTTTTAACACGTGAGATGCCATTTCGTGAACGTTAAGTTTTTATATAATTCCCACATAATTCAACAAACAAATCTCGATAGTTCTTATTATTTAAACAAATATATCCTACATTATATTTTATAAATATACCATTAACGAAAGTTTATACAAGATGAAAAATGATTTCCTCACTTGCAAAATACATCGGAACACCGTTTAAGCTTATACGACCTCGTATGATAATGTAATAAGTTTAAAAGATTACATGTTAAAACAATTAAACTTAAAACGATTGGATACGCAACAATAGAAAGTTTAAAGGTGTTCTGGTATTTATTTTTTAATACATACACACTTATATATTTAAATTGGTATGCAAAAGTAAGGACAAGCCTGTTGTACTTCTTTTTTGACAGCGAATTATCTCGACCCACCAAGTGAATAAAATGTCTGTATTATGGAATCGGTCCCGAATTGACCATGTGGAGTTTTCCTTATTTTCTTCATGAATAAACACCTAAATAGGGGATGGTTTCTTATAGAAAAATCTCCTGGGAGGAATGCCATTGGCAAAACGCCTGTGTGTTCCCTTTCCATATCCATAAACCAAATCAATAATAGGATTTTTTTTTTCGTTTCAAAATTTTATTTGTTAAAGTTATTTATTTTTTATACTTTTAGATTTAAGCCATATAATAAGATAAAATTCAAATAGAAATTCTTATGATATCAAATTCTGTCTTGGAATTTCCAGATATAGAATAAATATAGGCTACTGCAAATCAGTTTCCTATACAGCATATTCTCACTTAAAATCTCTGAGGAAAGATAAAAGTACATTTGTAACCATTTACCAATTACAAATAAACAATTATTATTGTTGAATTTTCATTATAAACAGTAAAATTCTATAAGATTCTTATGGTGAAAAAATAAATACTGGAGGTTGCAATTAGAATAATATTAACCTAATTATTTCTTGTTTATATCAATTAGCCATATTGGTTTCGCTACACTTCGTTTCCTTTAACGTTTCTCCGAAAACCCATCAAAGACGTTAAATGAGGACTTGCTGTATTTCTCTTTATAAAGGAGGAAATTCTATTCCGGTAATTCGCCAATGTAAAATAAATCGATATTTTCTTTATTACATGAGCTATAATACATTATCCACGATAAAAGTCACTTTTACAGTTATTTCGAATGTTAAAATATATTTGAAATTCTACAGAATTTTGAACATCCGTCCCCAATTTATTACTTTTCCGGCTCTGTTATGTATAAAAGAGCCGGGAAAGTAACAAACTGGGAAGAAATGGATCGGTCAAAAAATGATCTCCTTCAAGATTTTTACATTTTTGGATTCAGGGGACCTTGAAACATCGAGAAATGCAAAATAATTCGGGGTTTTTTCTGTATGTATGGCTGCTAGTTTGTATGTGTATGGAGGGCACAATTTTGTTCACCCTGTTTGATTGGTGCTATTAAATTTTGGTGGTAAAAGGTCGACGGAGTAGAGAGATAAAGTGGGTCGTGTGTCATATCTCGAGTAAGATCGGACTTAACGACAATTTTACTCGTTATTATTATTTACAATTTATTAAAATCATTCCTACCATCAAAATTTAGTTTATTGACATTTTATAATACTAAAAACTATAAGAAGTTTTTAAAATAAATTATCATAACAGATGGCGCCATCAAAATTTTAAATGTTGCAGGGAAAGTTAAACAACTCGCTGCTAGACTTCTTTATTTTACTTTCTAAGTATGGATTTTCTTTCTTATTTTATTCTTTATTTTCAAAATTTCGAAACTGTTTGTAATAGTCTACGTTTTTAGGTTTACTATCTAAAACATAGAACTTTAGTAAATTTTGATTTGATTTCATAATTATTAAATAATTCGCTACAATTCGTTGATGCCACTCTAAACTTTTTTGTAACTAATGCATATTCGAATATTAATTAATATTTATTATAATTTGTGAAACTCGTGTTAAGCAATTGTTTAATTTTTCATTTATAAAAAGTGATATTGCGTTGGCTAAACATTATATCATTTAAATATTTTCTTTTCTGCACATTCAACGCTGAGAAAATTGAATAATACAACAGATACAGTCGACCCCCCTATAACACTGTTGATTATTCCGTTTTATATGAATTCCATGTTGTACGAGTCACTTAGATTTTACAAATACGTGAGCCGTTCACAGCCCGGCACATGTATTTGTAAAATCTAAGTGACTCGTACAACATGGAATTCATATAAAATGGAATAATCAACAGTGTTTATAGGAGGGTCGACTGGTACAATAATACATTAATTACAACAGCTCCTTTCAATAAACTTTTTCTTGTAACATAACTTTTTTTAATGTTGCTTTTGAAAATACAGAGTTATGATACTTATTTTCACATTTATTCAAGATTATCTCACATTTTTATTTCATAGATTACCATTTTCTCAATGTTGTACGTTAGTAAAAACTCGATCAAGTGTTCTATGAGAAATATCTTTGATATTCGTGAGAATGACAGCATGAAATCAGTTTCACTTGGCATGAAATTCGTTTCATGGTGTTATTAATAGAGCTTTGAATGATTTAATTAACATGTTTAATTAATTCCTCAATTTATATTAGTGTAGGCGATGAATTAGTCAATAAGATATATCCAATGCTTATACTGTATATATATATATTAATATTATATATTTGCTATATTTACTTCTACAAAATTTTGATTATATTTAATTATAAAATATGCGTTTTAGGCAATTAGAATCATAAAAAAATTTAATTGTTCTTTAATCTTTGATTTATTTTGCATAATAAATACAACAGAAACATATTCTTTTTATCTGTTAATTATATATTATTAACATTTTATTTTTAATATCTTAGAGACTGAATAAAGCAAAAGATAAAACATTTACATCTGTGATACGAATTTATTCAAGTGAAAATTTAAGAAAATAAAATAAGTTCGGGTTTTGTGGTATATTTTTCGATAGTACCGCAAATATTCCAGAGATTGATTTTATATAGACTATAGTTTATTTACAAATAAGAAAAAAATATAAACAAAACTGATTGTAATAGTTATAGAGATATACTGTATGCTTGCATAAAACAAAACTGAAGTCAGTAACAAGCCGACTAGGTCGTGCACGAAGAGGATGGTGACATCAGCTCCATAATTTTTAAACTTGCTTGGGAGAACTCACATTCTCGGATTGGGATATATTCCAATTATGTATTTACTGTCAACTATTCCATTGTCATTGCAGACTTTTCAGAGGGAGCCGTCCAAGACTTCTGAACTGGGGGCCCTCTTTTTCACCAAGGTCTCATAGATTCTTGCGATCTCCATTCCTGTTTCTAGTTTCCAGATAGGGTATTATCCGAAGGTTGACTCTTTACCTCGGTTATTCCAGATGTCATCTTCTCTTTCATAGGGGTCTACTAGCCAAAAATAATGGCGACGCGATGTTTCCAAAGTCGGAACCACGAAACCCCAATAATGGCGATTAGTCTGTCAAAAATGAGAAATACGCCCGGTTTAAATTGATAACCTCTTAGTCCAGTCCCGGATTCTCCTTCTGTCCATTAGCTTTTTCCTTTGATATGAAATATTTTCCGACTCTCACAAAACAAAGGAATAAACAAACTCCATCTATACATTGGATTGTTTTTGACAAATAAAATCAAATAGCCGATTCCATCTTGACAATTCATACGCGAACTCACCAATAGCAGAGTGAATAAAACCGCTGGACACTGGATTAGTTGGTCCCACCTGACTAAACGACTGGCTGCTGAAGTTCCCCGAATTTACTTCAAGTGTTTAATTTCTAAATAGAAGTCCGTTTACCATACAAAATCTTACCCTCTTTTCTGTAGATCGCCCTTGTGTGGCGTTGCTTATTCCATTAATTCACTTCAAAGTATGAATGAATGAAAACTATCTGCGAATATTCTAATACTAAATTTAGTATTCGAGATTTCAAATGTAACATTGTTAAAAATAAATTCAAATATTAAGAATACAATATGTTGAAGCAAATAAAACAAGTTATAATTTATTTAATATGAAATAAATTATTATGTCTATTAGAATGACTTCGCCCACTTATTCAAAAGTTTATAAACTTATTAATTATTATTTACAAATTGCGATTTGTGAATAATAATAATAGAATTTGTAAGTAAGTTGCCTAAACACTGCTCTCTTCGCACAATTCCTTTCATCCACTTGTTCAAAAGTTTCATGTGTTATATTTGTTTTTTGGTTACGTTGATGTAAGTAGTCGTTATTATTAACTATTATTTGGTATAATCTATTAAATACAATAGTAGTAAATAACCATATCAGCTTGTTGCCCTTATTGTTATAATTATCACATTACATCTTCAATTTTCCGGAATTCTTTCGTATATTTTAATTATAAGTCTATATTGTCAAATTGTATCCGGCCGAGGAAGTTATTAAAAATCTGAAATGCATTTTGAAATATTAAACGTTAATTAAAGAAATTCTAAAGGTGTGTGATAAGTATAATAATTATAACAATATGGCCAGAAAATTCATATTGTTATTTACTACTATTGTATTTAATAGGTATTAGAAAACTGTCCATAAATATTTCTGGCTTTTGCTAAAGAAAAGAACTGCAACTATAAAACCGGTGAAAACTGGTAATTTGAGAATTTCCATGGGCAATTTACCAATATTCATAATATCAGTAATTTCCACGCCCTAACCGTGACGATTTTAATTAAGCTAAGTATTTTATATATATAGGATAGATAAGGTGATTAAGTTCACTAAGTATTCGGGGTATTCGTGTAATCAGGAATTGAAATTTTTGAGGTTTGGATGATATTCGAAGTCGAGAAAAGTGATATTTACCCATCTATACAAAATATATCGAATGCCAGTTTTATAGAGAATACTTTCCTATTTTATAAATTGAAATTTAAATAATTATAATTTTTAAATTTTGAAAATTGGTAATAATGTATTAAATTGTTTGTATTTTTAGATGTCCCTCAATATGCCATCGTTAGTGTTATTTTATTGTGCGTGATTGTTGCGCTTTGTATCTGCTCGATTTTCATTTATAGGTAAGTTTAGTTGCTAAAGTTTTATTTCTGTTTTTAATAAAGTATAAATTGAATAATATACAGATCGATTATAATTAACATTTATATGCCTTTGGATCTCTCTGTGAAAAGAACTATTGCTTAAATCTCAACCAAGTTTGGTATATGTAATGTACCGTATACGGTTTCGATTCTTAGGAAAAATTTCACTTTAGAATTCAACTCCAAGAACGAAATTTGATGCTGCTGACTCGTTAATGTGCACACTGCATACGTTTTCTAACAAATTTCGTTGCTTGATTGTGAACTTTTATCATGGACCACATAAAGTGTTCATTTAGGCAATGTTCCTAACTTAGCTGTCTTAAAAGTTCACAATTACACAACATATTTGATAACTCCTTCAAGTCACTTGCTTTCCATCGTCGAGTGTGTTGTGCCGTGAATGCATTTCTAGAAGATGACGAGCACATAACGCCATAATCTTTGCTGTAATCGTCAATTCCACATTCCACATCTGTAATCACATCTGCAATTGAAATAAAATTATTGCACTTTATTAAAGTTCATATGTAAAATGTGCATCAAGGGGACAGCAACATCAAATTTCACCAGGACGATTGAATTTTAAAATGAAAGTGTTTTTCTAAAAATCGAAACCGCATATTCAGGACACAATGTATACCAAATTTGGTTGAGATTATATTCAAAGAAAATTGTTTGCTTTACCATACTAACTATAAGCCATTAAAATATTTACTATACAGTATTTTCACATCACTACCAAATATTTTCTTAATCTTTCTAATTTTCTGTTTCTTCGTAAAAATGCTTTCTATAAAAATAATGACGATTTTTACACATTAAAAATACTTAGAAGAGACTAAACGTGTTTTCATTTTTGTCATGTCCAATCACCAGGAACAAGAGTCTTCCATTGCAGAGACAATCTTTTATTAAAGGCTACGCCTCTGCAAAAATATGCAAAACAATTTAAAAAGTTCACCTGTGAAAAGGCAATAATTAAAAATACATAGCTTCCTTTAAAAATAAATCAAATAAAAGGTCGTTTTTGCATTGTAAGACTATCGTTCCTGGTGGTTGGACATGAAGACATTTTAGTCTCTTCTACGTATTTTTTTAATGTTTCTTATAGTTTATTTCATAATTAAATTTACGCTAAATAAAGGTAGATAAAGGCTTTTTTTTTATTAAATTTTATTATTTTAATTTGCAAATTATATTTTTATTTATAGACACTTCAAATTGGAAGCAGAGATTGCTTCGATGACTTGGAGAATAAAGTGGGAAGATTTAATTCTAATTTCGCCAACTCATGCCAAACATCTTGGATCGAAGATAAGTTTAACGAGGATAAGTATGCAGGTAAAATGTATAATATATTTCAAAAATTCAATTAGACTGAAGGTAGGCAAGACGGAACTTAGTTAAGGAACTTTTATATTTTATAATTAATTAACTCATTAAACCCGAAAAAATTGTCTATCATTAAATACTCTAGGAGGTATATTTTAACTACAGTCGACGAAAATTCAAATTATTAACTTTCTTCCTTTTTTATAATGTTAATTAAGGGATATCAAATACTCTATATTATCCGATAGGTGTGGTAAGACGAGGTGTGTTCTGAGGCATGTGGTGTGATTCAAATTAAATTTATTTTTATAATTATTCAGATTATACGTCAAACTACCAATGAATCGGTCAGTAATTAGATCATGCGAAACTACAGAAATTTTTTTATTGTACAGCAATGTATTTTTGTTCTAAGACATAAGCGCAAATGTGGTGAACTTCCCCATCTTCTAGCCATTTTTCTTCTATTTGTATTTCTTTATAACTTTGTCTTCTCTTATACTTTGTTTTTTTTTTTTTCTTTCGTTAAAGTGGGTACCAGACGAGAGACATGACGAAGTAACCCCGTTTTCCCCAACCATACTTCCATATATTGCCCCAATATGCAATTTTGAAGTCTTGAACTTATTGGTAATCAATGGTAACTTTATTAATAAAAGATTTTTCACAGTCTCCTAAAGCTAAAAGAATTTTTTATTGGAAGAAAGAATCAAAATATTTAAAAACTTTGCGTTATTCCATGTACGTTTTTTTTTTAAAAAAGTAACAAATTACACCAGCATGGCTGACAACACATTGACAAAGAACAATAAAAAACAGCAATTTTACCGTTATCTACTACTTCCTATGTGCAGATTTAATTGCAATATTAACTACTAACAAGTAAGTTACAGCATTTAGTAAGTATAATGCAAGTTACATCCCGTCTTGTCCTACCCTCTTTATAAATTTTCATGCTAGACTATTTAAAGATATTGTTCAGGTCTAAGATTATAATAGAATTTTACATTTTATTGTTTTAATTATTTTATCATAAATTAATTTTTTATATGTTGAAATATTTATATTATATACCATACTAAATTCAATGAGTGAAAGTTTTATTGAGGACTTTAATGGAATATTTTATAAAATTAATAATATCTGAATTGAGATTAAATGGTTTACTTAATAGAAAAACATTTTTCGTAATTTATTACGGCGATAAACACGTAAATGGCGATTTTATTTAAATTAATACGTTATAATTTTGAGAAGATTTAATTCCAATTTTTGACGAAAGATGGCGAGATAATCACTTTTTAAAACCAGCCTGGATATTTAAGATAATTTTTTATAATTGAAATTTAATAAATTTATTATCATTTGACAGAGGAAAAATTATAATAAAGCTGGAAGAAATAATTATAATTTTTTTTTTTGAAATAGAGTAATTGTTCGTCAATTACAATGGATGCTGCTGATATGTCAAAACAGTTATTTGCAAGAACTGGTTATTTTAAGGTATTAATTTATTTTTATTTTGTATTAAAACATTGTATTTAAATGATTGTTCATAATACTTAATATAAACTATAAATTTTATAATAAAAAAAAAAATAGTATTATATTCGAAATGTATTTTAAATTGTAGGGAAGCATAATTGCTATTAAGCCAATACTGCTATCAAGAATAGATATAACCCGTCCTTTATTATATGAATTGAAATATGTAAGTAATAAAATATTATATAATTATTGTTTTAATTTAATTTATTTGCGTTTAAAAGCTATACTATCTTATTTTCGACCTTTTTATTTAAAAGCATTTATATTTAAAAAAATATTTAACAAGATAATTTTTTTTTATTAATTGACATAACTAATGAAAAAAAATGCATTCGTTCTGTCAAAATACTACACATTATTACGCCAATTTGACGTAATTTCACACGTTCTCATTACAAAACATATCGAATGACGTCCCATAGGAAGGGATCAGAAGGGGGATTTTCCCCTCCTGAGGTTTGTATTATTCTCTCTCTTTTCTTCTTTAAACTTTTAAAAATAATTTAGAAATATGGCGCTCGAGGCCCACAAACTAAGAGTGCAATTTTTCCACGAATGCTTCTATTTTATAATTTTATCAAAAAAAAAAAAAAAAGTATGTCGGGATAAAAATAGTCTGTCATGCGATTTCCCGTGCTTTTCCATTCGTTCGACCAACGACGGTTGTCGCCATAGAAACGGCAATCAGGCCACTTTTGAAGACTCGACCGCTGATTGGTTGAGAGACATCGGACCATCGGCGGACGTAGTGTAGCGCTGCTAAGCACTGATTGGTGGAATCCAATTCGGCTTCAATCCTTATAAAAGGATTGAGTTGTGGCGGGAAGTTCAGTTCGCCTTGGATGCATGAAGGAAACTCACGCTTGACTTTAGTTCGTCTAAGCTATCCCCCGGAAGATTGTTTCGTCTCGTTGGACTGTAAATGACTTTAGAGTTAGTTCGTCGCAAGGTGTCTTTTCGACGGACCTGTTGTAGTGGATAAATGTGTTGAACTTTGTTATAATTAACGTTTTGTAAATGTTTGTTTTGTGAACTTTGTAACTGTACATACGTTTATTTTCAATATATATATAAATTTTGAATTTTACTGGGTATATGTGTGTTTTGAACTTTACTAAGTACTACTATTGAAAATCCGACATTAGTACTACCACTCTGTGCAAAATATATTCATATATATTAATACTTCTCAACTGAATATTTTGTCTCCATTTAAGATTTCAATTTGCAGTAATTCTTGTTTCTAAATTCAATTATTTTTTTATATATTTTATTGTTTATATTTTGAACTCTTGCATTCTTAGGCCTCTCTGAGATAAAATCCACCCTGAATTAAATTGCCATAATGATGTATAGTATTCTAACAAAACGAATGTTAAAAAAATGGTTTATCTACTTATCTAGTTAATATATTCTAGCTATGAGTTTATTAAATCTTATTTCTGTATAAATGTAGATGAAAGATCTTCAGCACAATCATCTTGTACGATTTATTGGCTCGTGTATTGATTCACCGCATTGTTGTTTGATAACAGAATATTGCCCTAAAGGAAGCTTACAAGTGAGAATATGTATTATTTCTTCTTTACTAGTTTGTTTATTATATAAAAAAATTCGCCTGTTTACGAAACAAATACAATAAGCAAATTAAACTGTTTAATATACCAGAAAAATTTGTCTGTTAATATTTTTTATTCATTAATTTATCATTTTTATGCTTTTTTTATTGTTTTGAAGAATATCANCAAATCCGCGAGTGACTCTCTGGCACTCCACAATCGAGCAACACTCAGGCACCCGACAATTATTGGTAATTACAATACTGGTTCTTGACCAGCCACACAGCTACCCACTCTGGTTAGCTCCCCGGTCAGTACTGCGGTCAGCACTCCTCTCAGCACTACCTCCACACACCACTGACTCTACACACACCCAAAGGGAAGCGCACAAATTTTCCCTCTCTCACCATTTCTTCCTCTCTAGGCGGGACAATCTCCCCCACATTCTTGGGGATACTGTTACCTCACCCACCTGACACGTGTGACAAATCTGTGGACTGTCCATCACTACTTGTTGACATCCACACACATGACACATGTCTGACACATGTTACAACTGAACTTAAGAAAATCTTCTTATAAAGAACAGGCTTTACTAGAAGTTTCATCGATCAAACATACCATTATAATGCATCATTTTCGGGTAAAATTTTTACTTCATCTGTATATAAAAATGGGGATGTTTGCTTGTTTGTTCGCTATGCACACCTAGGCCGTTCGATCAATTGCTATGGTAGTTACGGTCACGATCCTCTAATTTAGACACTGTCTTAATCCCACCCCAAAATATCGATTGCATTTCTATATAACAATTAATTTCTGTCTACACACATTTGTTTGCTTTACATGTAGCGTCATCTATTGGCAAAAAGAAAATAATAAAACTACATATAATTCTTACAAAAAAGGATATAATTTAAAAAAATATACGTTATATTCACTTAATTACTGCGATAATGATATAGCGCGAAATAGACGTGCCATTATGCCATTACTGCAACAGGTAGCAGATAGCACTTGCCTGCATAGTATGTAGTAGTGTTTTGTCCCTGTACATCATATTTTTCCTGCTAGCAATAGAATCTTCCGGTTATATATCTAACTCCGTTCATGGGAAAATTTTTGAATTGAAATAACGTGATTTACGATGAAAACCAGAAGTTCGTATATAGTTAATCTAGGCCTCATGCTTTTACTCTTTCCATGTCTCATCTCGATATTTACCTACCTAACTCAGTTCTAAAAATTAATGGACCGAGAGACAGACGGACGACAGTGGGAATTTATAGGTCTAATTTTTTAAAATTTCAGTTCAATTAGTACCCTCAATAACTGTGTTATCGAACATCGGTAGTCAGTCGTGAGTCTGAGCATCGTCAACGGACTGGCCACGTGAAGTTTTCCGGGTTTTCTCCATGTCTGTAACGCCTAAATAGGGGCCAGTTACCCTTAAAAAGGCCTCCCGGAAGTCATTCCCCTAGGTAGATCACCCAAGTGTTGCGTAGCCGTAAATTAATAAAGAAATTAATAAACAAATAAACCATAACCAAATAAGCCAAATCAATTCTAATAACTTTTCTATAAACTTGATATTTAGGATATATTATACTTAACTACCATGAAACCTGGACACTCCGCTCCTTCCTCTGATTTCATCTCCCCTTGTTACCTGGTAACAAGGGGAGATGAAAAACCCATAGCCCCAAACTTCCTACTGATACTGCTGAAAGATGTTCTAACGTTCAGCCAAATTAATGTAGAGTGATTAGGGGGAAGATGCCTAACATTTTGCTTATGAAGGAAATTATAGCGATAATTTGGGTTTTGGAGGCCTCTAATGAAAATATCATATTCTTGAGTATGTTTTTCAAATAAAACTTTGGAGTGTATGAAAAATAATTATGTATTGTGTTTGCAGTGATGACTTTTTCACTGTCTGGCATTTTAGGCATCTCACCCCGAGTATCCGGGTGAGATGCCAAATGCCATTAGGGTAAGATAACAAATATAATTGCATAAAATTAATTTTCGAATATCTTAACCAAATTTAATTTATTTCATATGTAGTACAAGGTACTTTATAGTAAGTGTAACAGCACAGTATAAGTATTGTTAAGTTCCCGCTCGTACTAACGTGCTCTTTAGAGCACGTTAGAACGGGCGGAAACTTAACAAAAGAAAGAGGACTTTTTGGACTGAAAGAGGAGTTTTTGGACTGAAGAAAGCTTTCAGCTAGCTTTCTTCAGTCCAAAAACCTTTTTGAAAAGTCCTTATATAATTTCTATGCATATCCTACAATAAAACGAGAAAACAAAAATTTATTAAAAATAGGCATGTTATCCCAAGAAAAATGTGACATATTTCCCATTTGTCGGAGTAATATGCCTAGTGGAGTCACGTGTTGTAGCATGTCCGATCGGAATCGGCGGTAGCTGACAATGGAAACTTTAGAACCTTAACTACATCACACATTAATTGTTTTTCGCAATTTTTAATAAATCCTATTTTAACTTTTAGTTTTAAAATGACTCTAGATACATTTTACAACAAAAACTTCGTTCTTATCTTGCTACTATTCTTTTCAGATGTAGAAAATGTTGTAACAGTAGCCAACTACAGCTTTCCGCACTCAATATTGGCCCAACGATCCATCATACAAACACATTACAGTATCTGACGTCACCGTGTGAAAATAACAAAAATTAGGCATCTTCCCCAGCTCACCATCTTACCCCGAATCACTATACTATACGTGCAACGCTTTAAGGCCAAACTCTTATAAGAGTTCTATAAGAGCTCGAAGTCTTTTTCTGTGCGGATGTTTATTTTTTCTATTTATTATGATGTCAGTAAAGTTCAAATCGTATCTTCCGATTTCCGGTTTGTCAAAAAGAACACCTTACGACTCTTTGAACACAAATTAAGTCTATTTAACACTTTACATAGATACACAGCAATACATCTTGATTACTTCCAACTACAAGGTCTTAGTCCAGACTCTCTTCAGTCTTAGTCTAGGCTGCTTTTTCCTCGATTTAACTTTTGAATCCGTTGCCGTTGTCCGACCAATACGAAGACTGCGTTGGCATACTTGTTTCGACTTGTCCAGGATGACTCACCAACCGTCCCTTTCCAAAAACCCTGCTCCAACGTGTGAAAACTTGACCTATCTTATCACCACTCAAAACCTTGACAGCAACATTGCTTCATTCAAAATTTCCTGTAGTTGTACTCTAGTACTTTATACACGTCTTACTGTCATATCTGTTTTCACTATTCTTATGTCACAATTGTTAAAAGTTTCCTTTACGTAGATGTGTTTGACAAACTTTTCTTTTCAATCAGTTTTTTATGGAATCACATAAAAGCAGTTATTCTCGAAGTTTTACAAGATGTCTTTATGAAGTTTTCCAGACGTTAAGGTTAGCAATTTCGATCACATGCGGAACCCTCACAATCTGTCTAACACAAATCACTTTTTAAATATTAATAGTAGACCAGTATTAATTAGTAGTCGTTGATCATCTTACTTCCATGAAGAAGTCAACTACTACTATTGGTCGACCCCTTTCCGCAATACTCCCTTCCTCCTATCGGAACTAGCGGTATCGTGGCATTCGAATAGGAAAATTATATAATACAAGGTTATCTGTCAGCACAAAATATTATTTAAGTGGTTTTCGAGTGGTACCATCGCGATAAACTTGACAATGGTAGGTTAACATAATCAAACTCTTTATATGGTTTTCGTCTTAAAAATATTTGTTTTATTATAGTATTTGATTTATTAACTACAAAGGTTATCTTACGTAAGATAACCTTTGTAAATATGAATCAAATTCTATAATGTAATATAATAAAACAGAAGTACGAAATAATGTAATAATCTTAATGCATGTTGTTATTTTCTACCTGGGCAATAGTTTATTTCATAATTAAATTTACGCTAAATAAAGGTAGATAAAGGCTTTTTTTTATTAAATTTTATTATTTTAATTTGCAAATTATATTTTTATTTATAGACACTTCAAATTGGAAGCAGAGATTGCTTCGATGACTTGGAGAATAAAGTGGGAAGATTTAATTCTAATTTCGCCAACTCATGCCAAACATCTTGGATCGAAGATAAGTTTAACGAGGATAAGTATGCAGGTAAAATGTATAATATATTTCAAAAATTCAATTAGACTGAAGGTAGGCAAGACGGAACTTAGTTAAGGAACTTTTATATTTTATAATTAATTAACTCATTAAACCCGAAAAAATTGTCTATCATTAAATACTCTAGGAGGTATATTTTAACTACAGTCGACGAAAATTCAAATTATTAACTTTCTTCCTTTTTTATAATGTTAATTAAGGGATATCAAATACTCTATATTATCCGATAGGTGTGGTAAGACGAGGTGTGTTCTGAGGCATGTGGTGTGATTCAAATTAAATTTATTTTTATAATTATTCAGATTATACGTCAAACTACCAATGAATCGGTCAGTAATTAGATCATGCGAAACTACAGAAATTTTTTTATTGTACAGCAATGTATTTTTGTTCTAAGACATAAGCGCAAATGTGGTGAACTTCCCCATCTTCTAGCCATTTTTCTTCTATTTGTATTTCTTTATAACTTTGTCTTCTCTTATACTTTGTTTTTTTTTTTTTCTTTCGTTAAAGTGGGTACCAGACGAGAGACATGACGAAGTAACCCCGTTTTCCCCAACCATACTTCCATATATTGCCCCAATATGCAATTTTGAAGTCTTGAACTTATTGGTAATCAATGGTAACTTTATTAATAAAAGATTTTTCACAGTCTCCTAAAGCTAAAAGAATTTTTTATTGGAAGAAAGAATCAAAATATTTAAAAACTTTGCGTTATTCCATGTACGTTTTTTTTTTAAAAAAGTAACAAATTACACCAGCATGGCTGACAACACATTGACAAAGAACAATAAAAAACAGCAATTTTACCGTTATCTACTACTTCCTATGTGCAGATTTAATTGCAATATTAACTACTAACAAGTAAGTTACAGCATTTAGTAAGTATAATGCAAGTTACATCCAGTCTTGTCCTACCCTCTTTATAAATTTTCATGCTAGACTATTTAAAGATATTGTTCAGGTCTAANCGAAACATAAATCTTCCGAACAACCCCAGTCCCCAATTGATTCGGATAATCGACGCTCTACTGTATTATGAAACTTTTTAACTAATCCAAATACTGTATTTGTATATAAATTAAATTTCTTACTGTTTCTTTTACAGGATATATTAGAAAATAACGAAATAAAATTAGATTGGATGTTTCAATGTTCATTAATGCACGATATTATTAAGGTAGGATATTACATACGTAGATTAAGTAGTAGAGTAAGACGTTATTGTCAAACGTATCTGTTATAGTGGATAACCATTATTCTGTACTTAGAGTTATATACTTTGATTTTATAGAATTATGAATCGTAGAAATGTTCATAAAGTTCTTATAACTTCATTAAATTCAGTTATAAAACGATAAAAAGTGTACATTTACTGAATATTTACGAATACGATTGATAAATGTGGCATGAATTGACAGGCAAACTTCTTTTGTGATAGTTTTTACTTCATTTACTTTATTCTATGAGACATGACGTGGAAATCTTTCTTCATCATTATATGTTACAGTTATAGAATAAATTCCGAAGAAATCTGAACTGCAGGACGAGTTTATGAAATTTCCTTTCAAATGTCTCTCTAATCTATATTCTAAGTAGATATTTTTTAGCTGAACAAACTCTCGTGGATTTGTACAAATTAGCTGTCGATAGATAAGGGTGTGTCTGCAGATGTGCATGCAGATGTGCAATAAATTTTTTTTCTTTTCGGATCCAATGATCCCTTCCGGCGATATCGAGTTCCAAAGTTCTGAAATTTCCCTATCATTTTGTATAGAGAGTCGATAAGAAACTTTTTGCAGCAATTTAGTATCAAGTCCACTGAATTGTTAGTCAGAAGGCAATACTTGGCCAGAAGGCTTAGTATTGGATTTACCACCTTAAATGTGACATACAAAGAAATTTTGTAATTTATTTTCTTAGTTGGTATTAGGAGTGTTGATATATATTATGTAGTCCAGACTAATATTTCATAGACAATAAATTTTAATTTTTTATTCTAAATTTGCTATTTCTATTTAATGCCTTATCCCACAGATATTGAGGGATGTCTGTATAATTACCCTGTTTAATAATTGGTTGCTGTTTACGTATCCAAATATTTATTGGATATATGGTCAGATTGTACTGTGCTTCAATTCATACATCGATTTTAAGCTTTACGGCGTCAGGAAAATGTCTTCTCTCTAGCCATGTTTGAAAAAATGATGTCAATCTATTGCTATACAGTATATCATTGGTCCCGTTAAAGTTAAAAGACTTCTCCGATTGGCTACCGTTGTAAACTTATTTTATAACGTAAACTTACAATGGAGACTTTGTTTATAACGTTATGATTGTTTATAAGGTTACAACGAAGCATTTTATAATGGAAAATACCAATGCATAAACTCGCTAAAAATATATTTGTAAATAGAATTAAAAATATATAATGTAAAAATCATTATGTCAATTAATGCCTCTATGTCTGGTGAAATAATTTACTATACATTTCGTGTTATCCAAGATTTTGGTTATCCGAGATAGCCTCTGATCAGATTAAATTAGATTATCGTAATCCTACTGTATTTAAATTGCATTGGATATAATCAAATTCTGCATTTCAATCAAGAATTATTTTTAATTTTTATTAATATAAAAAAATATTTTTAAAGGTTAGAATTTAGATAGCGAGTTAATTTAAGTTTTCTAATTTTTTTGTAAAGTCCATTGCTGTAAATTGAAGACATTTAAGCGAATGTAATGCCCAAAAAAGCATACAAAAACGTTTCTTAAAACAAGTTAGATAGTTAATAAAAAAATTAAACAGTTATATGATAATTCTGTGCATTTGAAATGTCAAGAAAAAGCTTTGTCACGTAAAACAATTATTTGGTAATTATAATTAAAGTGTATACATAATAAGATATAAATTTTAAATAGGTAATTGCATTTGCTAAATGTGTAAAATCTCGAAATATATTCTTCAATAGAAAGTAACTAAACTTACATCTTATTGGACCTTATATAGATTTTTTGTTTTAAGTAGGCTACATTGAAAATACCAGAGGATTGATGTGTAGTATTTAAACATGGACTCTCAAAATATCAAGTTTCCAAACCCTAGTTATAACAGATGGAATTTCATGAAATCTATTTTCGTTATTTTCAAGTTTGCATACGATTTTTTACAGTATTTCATATGACAAAGAACTCTTGTTACTTGCTCCGGCTTCATAAAGGATTTTATATATACTTTATTACTTTCCCTGCTGCTATATATTACAGAGGGAACGTATGGCAATAAGGGAAACGAACCCCCCAAAGAATTTTTGTATTTTTGGATTTAGGATACCTTGAAACAGATTTCATGAAATTCCATGTTTGGAATTTCATGACTAGGGTTTGGAACTAGGGTTTGGAAACTTGATATTTTGAGAGTCCATGTTTAAATACTACACATAATCCTCTGGTATTTTCGACGTACTTAAAACAAAAAAATCTATATAGGGTCCAATAATTTATTTTACGAGAAATGAAAAAAAATTCGAGAGTAATTTCTGTATGTTTGGATGTTAGTGTGTGGCATGCACACTCCTTGAAGCTTAATAACTCCTGTGCTTTTTGTCGAAAATTTCTGAAATTTTGCAAGGAGGTTTGTTTATTAGGGTGAGTGATGCCATTAAATTTTAGTGGTTAAAGGTCGAGGCGGGAGATGGAGGTGGAGAGATAAGGGGTCGTGTGTATCTCGAATAGGGTCAGACCTAAAGAAGACTTTATTCGTTATTAGCATTTACACATTTTTATAAAACCCACTCTTACCCTCAAAATTAAGCTTTATGCCATTTTAAAATAGTTAAAAATAAAATATGATAACAGATAGCGCCACCAAAATTTTAAATGTTGCCGGTAAAGTTAAGCAACTCGTTACTAGTTCATATGTACTGTACTGTATTACTTTAACTAACAATAATAAAATATTTTATGAAGCAAAAATAAACTTCAGTATTAATTCTTTTAACTTTTTACTTATAAATTAAATTAGTATATTTAATTCTTTAATTAAAACGTGTCCCAATTTAAGAAAATTATTATTATTTTATTAATTTTTATATATAAATTCACTAAATGTAATTGTAATCGTTTCAAAACTATATTTACTCAGTTATAAAAGAATTACATATAAATCTCGTAGGAATTTCAATAAATATAAATATAAAATGTCTTTATATAATAGAATTAAGTATATTTGTAATATTTAATAATTAACTAGTCTTTTTTTCGATAGGGTATGGCTTATCTACATAGTAGCGAAATTCATTCGCATGGTAATTTAAAATCATCAAATTGTGTTGTGGACAGTAGATTTGTCTTAAAAATAACGGATTTTGGTCTTCATTCTTTAAGAACATACGACGAGAATGAAAACGAAGATTCTTACGCTCACTGGAGAAGTAATATTTTTTTTTATTTTTAATAAAATAGAATTAAATATGCATTAATTTAGTAGATACGAATATAGTTTTATAGCTATTTTGTAATCTCTTACAATATTGAAATGCATTCATTTTTATGAAAAATATGAAAAATTTTCTTGATTTAATCTATTATCTTTGATGATGATTAACCATAATTTACATTAAATTTACGTCATAAACATTGCTGTGTAGTATTAAAAGCGATCGTAGAATAAAATAGAATAATGAAGAGATCAAGAGGGAAATTGCAACTTGTTAAGTTCAAATTTATTATTATTATTTTTTTTAGTTGCTAGAGGCATATGATTTACTTTTAATGAGTCAGAAGCTATTGTTTTTTCTTTTAATAAATTAATATATGACAACTTTAATTAATAGCCAATTTGAACTGACACTTATTCATCATTTTATGTAAATTTTAATAAGTTTTTTCGTGATAAGTATGCCTGTAAGTGCGATAAAAGTAAGTTTATGTATTTAAAATGTAAGCTTTTACAAAAGGTAAATTATAAAATTTATGAATTCTTTATAACTAATTAAATGTAGTTTATTAATTAGTTTTAAATATAATTTATAAGTGAATAATTAATCACTTTTTATTTAGTAGAAACTTTGTACTCAATCGAAAAAATGGAATTTTTAGATTAAAAAAACAAAATTAAATTTAGTTCTTATTATCATATTTTTCTTTCAAAGTTTGTTTAAACACACTTAAGATATATATCATAAATCAGTTTTTTGAAATGAACTTAAATAAAAATTGAAAATTATATTATTTATGTCATTGTACAGTGAGGGTATTCAGATTGCTCAGAGTCTCATGCTTTTAAGATTCTCAGATAAGCACAAATACATTGATTCTCGATTTTAGTTTAGTACATTGGAATCCTAGAGTTTGTATTCTCAAATCAAAGGTTATATCCGCAAATATAATCAAGATCATAGAGTTTGTAAATCCCTTATCACACGATACCCGATAAAACATTATATAAACTTGTACAAATGGAGGATCTTTGCGAGTCCATGCTTGCTTAGGTTCAAACATAACCTTAAAACTGTCATTCACTGTATAGATTCAATTAGGTTATTTCGCGTATGATAAAGTTTATAACTTCAATTTTCAATTATGAAACCTTCGCAGTGTCTTTTAATAATAGGGAAACTTTGGATGGCTCCAGAATTACTTCGAAAATCAAAACCTCCTCCTGAAGGCACTCAGAAAGGAGATGTATATTCCTTTGCTGTCGTCGCGCACGAAATAGTGATGAGACAAGGTCCTTTCTATCTAGGTACGGTAGAACTGAGCCCAAAAGGTATGTTGAAGCTTTGTTTACCTAAAACATTATTTTAATTAAGTTTAAAATTTTATCATAATAAAACTTGTCAGATAACTTTTTTAAACTGATTTTAATTGATAAATATTTTATAATTAATATTAATTTTAAAGAATTAAATTTGAAATTACTGTATCCCTGTGCATAGCTTCACAATAACAAAATAAAGCTCCAAAAAGGGCGACAGCCCATATCGTTCATTGCCTTTAGTCCTGTAACTTGGTAATCCGGCATTCCTCTGCGCAAAAAATGGCCAGATTAGCAATATTCTACTGTATTCCAATTTGTTTAATAGGCAATTATTTCCTCTCACTTAACACTTTACAAAACATTATTTATTATATGGCGGTTAAAAAGAAAGAAAATTTATTTATCACATCTTTTAACTTCAAAGCTATTCGTTTCCTTTGGTGCAAAATGACAGATTTGTTTTCCATCTTACTCTCATAACACAAATATCATTATCGACGTTATCACTGCATCATATACAATAGAGCAAGGGTGGCCAACTTTTTTGAGCTCTTGTGCCACATAGAAAGCATACTTAGCTTTAAGGATATTTATGCGTGCCATTCGAATAATGACATTTAAGTAAATTAAACGAATATTTGAAATTTAGAATAAATGTATAAAACGTTTTTTGAAAAAAAGGATGATTGTAAAAGACAGATTATAAATAGAAAACGTATGATACGTTACGTGTCACAGGTTCGCCATCCCTTCAATAGACACTATAGTCCGTTACTCGCAGGTCTGTCACGTCCTGTAATCCGACATTACAGGGCAGCGCACATGAAATTTTCGTGTTACTACTACTTGTCGATATGTGCCACAGAGATTTTGATGTACTGTACAGTACATGTATACAATCAGTTGCTAGTTGTTTATAGCACGTGCGGTGAGCAAAACAGTCACATTCGTGAGTAATTCGGTAAATTATCCTGTGAGCCAAGTGCGTTTTTTTACTGTGCAGTTCGTACATGCATACAAAATTCAGTAATCCGACAATCTGCTGTAATCCGACACCTGCCGATTCGATATATGTCGGATTACAGAAACTCTACTGTACTCCTTCGACTCTATATAGAAGAGATCTATAAGAACTAGAAGCAGTTTGACAATAAAACAGTTTGTTAGCCTATGTGTAGTCTACTTACTTCTTGACACGTTGTCTTCACTATTTCTCCTCTTCTTCCTACCAGTGGCCGAGTGGGTCACTGAACACTGAACACGAGTGAGTTGCGGGTTCGCACCGACCAAAGGACGTTTGTCGGGTTTTCTTCACTTCTCTAACACCTAAATAGTGGCCAGTTTCCCATGAAAGTTTTCCTGTAGGCATCAATAGCATTCAATGAATTCAATTTATCATAATGCAGAAATAATCCTTTAGGATTTGTCAAATTTTAATTAAAATATGATTTCTATGTATTTAATATTTATATTTAATTATATTGTAAAATATATATATTAATATTATAAATATCTCTAATATATTAAATGAAACATATTTTCATACATTATTAATTAGTTAATTAATTAGTTTTTAATTAAATTTTTATAAAATAATTTATACAGTTTTAATGTATTTTGTTTCAGAAATTGTCGAAAATGTAAAAAATAAACAGAAGCAACCATTTCGTCCATATTTAGGAGAATATATTTGCGAAGAAGGACGTAAAATGATTGCGAGATGTTGGTCTGAAGATCCTTTCGACAGACCTGATTTCCAGTATTTAAAATCAGTGATAAGAAAATTAAATAGGTATAAAATAGTTTCCGAACTTAAACAATATGGTTTTAAGTATTTCAAATAAGTTTTTCTGTAAAATAATATTTTATAGAGAGAATGAAAATGGTAACATCTTGGATAATCTTCTCTCAAGAATGGAGCAGTATGCAAATAATTTAGAAGCTCTTGTAGAAGAAAGAACCGCAGATTATTTAGAAGAAAAGAGAAAAGCCGAGGACCTACTTTATCAACTCTTGCCTAAGTAAAGCATAAATTGTTTAAAATCAATATTAAATTAAGTACTGTACATAAACTGTACGGTAGTTTTTCCCATTGGATAGGAATAGTCTTTTATTTATGCATGTACCAGAATATCCGAAGGTAGCTTGGATGACAATTTAAAGTAGGTTGAGAATCCTTTATCCAAAATCATTGGGACCGGAAGTCTTTCGGATTTTGAAATATTTGTATATTTGCATTTCATTCGTATATGTGTAGGCTATATTAACAGCCCGATCCTAGAACATTCCTAAATTCGTGAATTTTTAAAACTTATACATATATAAGTATACAGAGTATTCACTTAAATATCTACCCACAGACCAAAGAAATCTTTCCAGCATTATTTCGATTAGATAGTGAACTGCAGACTGTAATACACCGGCTGTTACGTCGCCATGACAAGTACCAATTCCACTGCTATCTCAATGAATACAAAATGCAGAGCGCACAAACGCTTTTGAGTGGTATAACATGATATTAAATTTACGGCACGAAGAACTACAACTTCTTCAGGACATTTTGTGAACTGGCGAGACACTGTTTTCACGGAATAGAATTTATAACCGTTACAATGTGCACTACGTTGCACCCTAAACATCTAGTGTGGAATTTGCTTCTAGATTTCGTATTCATTAACGTCACCCGGAATAGTGACCAATATCTGAACATTCTAAACGTTTGGTGGACGAAATGTTTGAGAATTTGTCATTGGAGTTACTACAGCAGATTTAATATCAGTACGATGAAGCTTTGCGTTAGTGGTCGCAGAGCAGTTTAGGAACCGCTGGGAAATAAAATGGTCTTATTCCAGTCCACCACGTTTCTCTGGATTGATCTCTCTGAATTTTTCCTGTGGAATCACCTAAAAGCAATACTGTTAATATAAGATCACTGTGTGTGATGCCATTGATAATTTTCGTGTAATCTCTTTTCGTTCTTTGTTTTTTGTCAAATTTTGAATATAATTACCGCTTGTAGCTCTTTAGAGATTGTTTCCAGTTGTAACTTAAAGTTCTGAACTTCTCTAGTGATGTGCTTTTGTAGATCAAGTAATTTAATTTATAGAAAAATCCATCGGGATTCTCACATTCAATCAAGTTAAGACTGAATCGTTTTTTGTGCATCAGCATCACTCTTTCCACAGATTTTCCACAAAAGATACCGCACTCCCCATGTGATTTGTCAAAGGAAAAAAGTGTGCTCTTAAATGAAAGAAAAAAAATCTCTTTGTGTTTCGATTTAAACACAGGCTTAGATTTTATATAAGTTATATATATAACCGTACCATATCATTTTNAAATGAAAGAAAAAAAATCTCTTTGTGTTTCGATTTAAACACAGGCTTAGATTTTATATAAGTTATATATATAAATACTTTTAGCATTATTCCATATTTCGAATATTTAACTTCATTGTTTCATACGATTTGATGTCGAAATATAAAGTACTGCAGTAAATATTTTTGCTATTTTTATAAGCTTCATGTCGCAAAATATTATTTAAAATTTTTGAATCTAATAAATTCTGTTGTTATAACAAATTTATGCAAGGAATTTCTGAAAATTAATTTAAAATTATTAATTAATTTTAATTATATTAAAAATTATATAACAAGTTCGTTATTAAATTGAATTTGATACATAAATTTTTATAACTTTTGCCCATGAATAAGAAATTTACATTTAGGATATCAAAATTTGAAATGTTTTTTTCTTCATTTTAGATATAAGTTATATTCAAATGTTTAATTAGAAAGTCATTTTTTCATTACAAATTTCACTTAGGATATTTTTATATAGGCCTACATAATTAACACGTGTTTCAAAGAAAATTGCTCTTTTCTATGACAGTACAATTATTTATCATCTGTCGAATCATTATCATGTCCTACATATGTCTAACATCAGTAACATTAAATTAATTAAAAACGTACTAATGTGAAGTGGGAATAAGGACATATCACACCAGTGATAATAATCACAAACACCCAGGTATCAACGGAATACATTTAATAAAACGAGAAGGGGTGTACAATAAAATCAATTAAATTAACAATTAACATGAAATAACCAAAATGCGTTTTGGACTATCATAATAGTTCCTCTTCGGTTGGTATACATATATAAAAAAGGTGAGATACTTAGAATTATACAAGACAAAGGAACCGTTATAAAGGTATGATCATTGAGCAATAAATGGGTGTAGAGGAAACAGGTTTAAGGTGGCTTCATTACGTTACATGGTAGCTTGACATAAGGGTTATTATTATAAACAGTATTAAAATTAGCGAAATAATAAGGTAATTTTTTACAAAATAAGTTATATCTACATACCATAACAGTAGTAAGATGGAGTTTGGAGGTAGCATTGCTACAAGATGCAGAGCAATTATGACGGAGGTGTGTTACAAGCAACATCTGGAGAACAAGTGATGACTAACATCTTAATGGCCAACCTTCATTACATCACTTCTTAACCAGGTGTTAGTATTAAGACTATAGATTTCATCATTTAATAGATGAGGGTCTGTGCTCAAATATCGACTGGGATCTAGGCAAATTATTCTATAAATTAAATTTAATGTAAAGAAATTGCTTTTTGCCCTTGGTTTAATTAAATTAATTAAAAACCTACTAATGTGTGGTGGGATAATAGAATAATTTGCCTAGATCCCAGTTGATATTTGAGCACAGACCCTCATCTATTAAATGATGAAATCTATAGTCTTAATACTAACACCTGGTTAAGAAGTGATGTAATGAAGATTGGCCATTAAGATGTTAGTCATCACTTGTTCTCCAGATGTTGCTTGTAACACACCTCCCTCATAATTGCTCTGCATCTTGTAGCAATGCTACCTCCAAACTCCATCTTACTACTGTTATGGTATATAGATATAACTTATTTTGTAAAAAATTACCTTATTATTTCGCTAATTTTAATACTGTTTATAATAGTAACCCTTATGTCAAGCTACCATGTAACGTAATGAAGCCACCTTAAACCTGTTTCCTCTACACCCATTTATTGCTCAATGATCATACCTTTTTAACGGTTCCTTTGTCTTGTATAATTTTACGTATCTCACCTTTTATATATGTGTAATCCAACTGAAGAGGGACTATTCCGATAGTCCGAAATGCATTTTAGTTATTTCATGTTAATTGTTAATTTAATTGATTTTAATGTACACCCCTTCTCGTTTTATTAAATGTATTCCGTTGATACCTGAGTGTTTGTGCTTATTATCTTGGTGTGATATGTCCTTATTCCCACCTCACATTAGTAGGTTTTTAATTAATTTAATTAAACAAAGAGCAATTTCTTTATATGTCAGTAACATTGTTGTGTACTTTTGAAATATATTACACGTACTATTAAACGTATTAAAATATCATTGTATTAATAACAGGATATTTCTGAAATAATATACTCTGTAATAACTAAAACGAAAAGTTTAGCGTGATAGTTTCCTGGACTTAAAAAAATTCTCTGCTAGATTATTGATGATTATCTCCATGTTCTCTTTATTGTTTGAACTATTTCTCATTTTATATCATCATCTTTCCAATATTTCTTTTCAAGTTTGTCTTTTACTCGGGAAATGATTATCATTATCTACTTCAGAACTCTTACGCTTATCACCGATAAAAGACAAGTGATTTTCTGTTATTGATATTCCTTCATCTTAGACAAATTAAAAATGGCTTCTATTCGTTTTCAATTACTATCGATATTAAATTTATTATTTTTTTATGAAGAAAGCTGAATCCTAATTATTTTTATTCCGTACAAAGCACTAAATTGAAAAAGTATTGGAAAACTATTTTCTGAAAAGGTAATATTGGCAAAGATGTAAGTCAAAATATATCAAATAACTGATTAAGAGAAAACAGTATTAAGAAATGCAACATTTCTTTACTATTTGACATTTTTATTATGTAATAATAATAATAATTTAATTAATTTTAAAATTTTAATTACTATTATCTTCATTATAACAACATTTTATACTTTAATGTGTGCAAATAAATTAGCATTAAATATATATTTAAGGTATAATCAGTTCAAACGTAAATCTTATAAACTAATGATTTTATCTTTTAGGGATTTATTTGTTGTCATTGATGAATAGTTTTATATACTTTGATATTATAGTTAAAAGAAATTCTACTAATTATATAAATTTTATATTAAATAACGATGTGGTAAATGTTTTAAATGTGGTAGATGTTTACATCTTTAAACTAGTTAATAACCGAAAGGATTTTTATTGCGTAGTTTGGATCATTTAGGATTATTGTCAAAAATAATAAAGGACATTGTTTTAATACAGTATTTATAAAGGAAGTATGGCAAACACTACTTTGATTTCAAATTCAAACACTAACGTTTTTATGGATCTGGTTGTAGTATTAAGGAAAAAATTGATACCATAATATTCCTGTTAGAAAATTCAAAAATTAAACAATTATACATATATATTAAAATTAGTATCTTGATATTAATAAACAAGATACATTTAACATAGGAAAATGCATGAATTTGTCTGCTACATTTCGTTTCTCTACTTTCTATAAGGACATATTTCAAGAATTATTATTTTCTTTTTTTCACAAGGACTATTCAATTTCAAGCCAGACTTTCAGTAATGGCAATGTAACTGTGTGTTACATAGTTCCAATTGATGTTTATTTTTCTAGGTACTTGTCCACGCGCTGACACTTCTCCCATTGCTTTGGTAACGATGCTATGCCTGAAGAATAGAAGTCCGGTTTGTGTCAGTACCTCACCATGACGAACCCTGAATCGGGTGAATCGCTTGTCTCCCAAAAGTGTCTTTCAAAGGGCCAAACAGATAATCAGGATACCGGATTATTCAAAATTTTTCAACTAAATCCGTTGATCACCTCCAACGTGTCATTGCAAAAACGATGGTGGTAATATCAACTTTGGAAGGAGTGTATTAGAGACATAAACATAAAATGAGGATTCTATTTAACTTTGTTTTATATTACATTATAGTGTTGAATATATGTGTTTGTAGGCTGAAGATTATATATAAATTTAAGAAAGAACTTATTTATTTAGATTCTTTTGTAGTCACTTTTTTGAAGTAAACAATTTCATCATTTACACTCCATTTTACACACTATTGATTTTTATATCAATAGAGAGTGAAATTTTAGCAAGTTCATTTACAGTTTAACAGTGCTTGAAATGTTGATATTTTCTAATCCATTCACTTTAATTTAATTTTATAATTGAAATGTATTTTTATCTTTTCTTCATATTAACTTCAGTTATAAAAACGATCTAATAGCGTCAACAGTCTTGGATAAAACTGAACTTTCTAGGTACAAAAAATGCAAAATTAATTGGGCAAAGAGGGAAGAAATGCACAGCAAGGTTTGTCAACGGAGAAAGAACAAATACAATCTTGATTCTTTGTATAGGGTTTATTTCTGTCTCAATTGTCTATTTTCAAAAGAAAAAGAAAGACACTTCAGTTAGGGGACGATGCTTGCTGAGTATCCACCGGGCAGTCTTACAGAACTTTTGAAAACGTTCCCTAAGGTCTCTCTGAAAATTTATTGAACATGTGAAGCCAGCGATAAAGAAAAAAGTAATTTTGTTACTCGTTGGCTTTGCCACACTATAAAAATTTATGTACACTGAATTAGCATCAGCTAATATAATTCTTTTTCAGCTATATGGATACGATCCACAAATTGTAATATCTTGATGTAGAGCTGCAACTATTCTATGAAAAAGCTGTAGATTAATGAATGGCTTTTCATGTATGCTAATGTCTCAATTTGAAGTAGTTGCTCTAATAACATGTTTACAATAAAGCTACATTCGTTGGTAATATAAACAATGCTTTTAAAACAAGATGATGGCCAATAAACAGATGAATTTTTTATGTATATTTTGCTGTCAGTGATATACTAAAAGAAAGAAAAAGAAATCAGAATCACCTGATGAAGTTGCTGAGATTTATGCAGCTGAAGTTAGTATGATTCAATTAGCAGTAATTACTATTGCTATTGGGAAAATTTAGTAATTACACCACGAAAGAAGCGAAAAGAACTATACAAGAATCTTCCTTAGATTCTTACTTAGAGAAAAAAAGTTAAATGGAAAAGATACAGATGATAAACGTAATGATGTAATAGCGTGATAAAAGTAAAAAGATAAAAATGATTAAAGTCAACGTAAAAAAAATGTCGGAGACAAACGAATTTACTTTAATATATCTCAAGTACTCTAACAAATATCAGTACTTTCATAAATCAAGAAGACCGGCTTTGTTTTCTTTTGCAATGAAGCAGTCATTGAAAATAGATTCGGTACTTAAATAATGAGATATGAGTCCACGAAATCTGTAGTAGTGTCCAGCAAGAGGATGTAACATATTGTTTCCAAAATGCATAACACTTTGCAATTAAATCATCTTTAAATATATCATTAATAAAAAAAAAAACAAAGTATTACGTGAGGGCTTGTATTTTACAACAGAAAAATAACTAATTCGAATTTTGAAATAATTATAACGTTACAGTTTATAAAATAGATTTCACAAAAGAAAAATATAGAAAATTACTAATGTCATTTCTTTATTTTAGAACAGTTGCAAATCAATTAATATTAGGAGAAGGTGTTGCAGCTGAAGCTTACGACAACGTAACAATATATTTTAGCGATATTGTTGGTTTTACTGCACTTTCTGCACAGAGTACACCAATGCAGGTAATTTAATAAATCATAAATTGTTTCTATAAAATGTAACTGTTTCTCAATTTCTACAATGTAATTTTTGCATTTCACAAGTAATATTTTTTTCAAATTATATATATTGATTAGAATATAATAAATATATTTTCCTATATAATAAACTTCAATTTCTACATCAAATTTAAAAATTTTCAGGTTGTTGACTTTCTCAACGATCTTTATACTTGTTTTGATTCGATTATAGAGAATTATGATGTATATAAGGTATGACCGTAAATAAATTACTACCTTTAAGTAGTAATTGTAATTATAATATATAAAATAAATTATTATGTATTGAATATTTATATGATATAGGTAGAAACAATAGGAGATGCTTATATGGTAGTTTCTGGCCTTCCAACGAAGAATGGAAACAAACATGTTCGTGAAATTGCCAGGATGTCCTTAGCTTTATTGAATACAGTGAAAACCTTTCCTATAAAACATATACCAGAAGAAAAATTAAAACTAAGAATTGGAATTCATACAGGTGATGAAAATTTCTAATTGAATTTCTTCTAATTAGTACAATTTTTAGATTAAAATTTACATAACTATAACTTTAAAAAAAAATTCTAAAAGTTTCATGTAAATGAGCATATTTTATCCAAAGTTGATAATTTCGTTTCATAAATATTCGTATAATAATTGAATTTAAAATAAAATTGCTTTATATGTTTGTTGAATAATGTAAGTAAAATATTCTATTATGTTTTTCAATTTATTCAAAATAAATTGGTTAATATTTACGACATTCTTATTGAAAAAAAAATGATAGAAAATTGGTAAATTATAATATGAGCGATGGTTTTCTTTATGTAGTTTCTCAATGAGAATAATTAAAAGAAATAAAAAACCACAGACGTGTCTTTCATATTCAATTCATTCACGAAGACATTGCAATTAAAAAATGAACTTTATGTCGCTTACTTTATATCATTAGTTGTTCCACCATTAATAAATGGCTTCAAGATAATTATAATGTAATTTAAAAATTCTTTTTCTGTTTGCAAACAGGTGTCGTATAATTTCGTCAATGTTTTGCCACTCTTCTTTAACTGCCCAAAATTTTATAGGTTATTGTATAGCACTAAATGATGCCTTTCTCCATAGTTTGCAAATGCTTTTCTTGTTCCATAAGTACTTAATAGATTCTTGAATTATAATTTAATATGCAGTTTTATAATATGCATTATGAACGTCGGATAATTAAATTATTAATAATTTTCAGGTCCTTGTGCTGCTGGAATTGTTGGATTAAAAATGCCAAGGTATTGTTTATTTGGTGACACGGTCAATACAGCATCCAGAATGGAATCAACAGGCTTACGTGAGTTTTATAAACAGAAATAAATTATAAAATAATATAAAAGAATATACAAAAATATAGAAATCTATAAATAAATTTGTAGAATATTTATATATATATATATATATATAAAGGAATTATGAAATATATATTTTGTATTCCTAAAGAAAATTGTGCTTGATTAACAGAGATGATAATATTTAATTAATAAAGAAAAAATAACATTTGTTAAATACTAATTAAGTAATTTAATATATCGTTAACTTTCATTTCTATTCTGCTGAAATAAGTTTAATTAGTTCAGGCATATTAACAGTTACTAAGATAGGCTGTAGATATGTCATAAGTCATTATATTTGATTTTATTAAAATGTTTTAATGCCAATTATTAAAAAATAATTAATAGACATCCACTTAAATGCCAGAATCTATTATTATTATTCTTATTAAGAGAAAAGAGTGATAGTCCTATTAAAATAATTTGAAAAAAATTAGAAACTAAAGTGTAAAGATAGGTTTTCTGATATATTATATCAATATATTTATTAAAAAATTCTAATAAAATATATTATTCTATAGACTACAGAGTTACATTGTGATTTATTAATTAATTCTTACAGGTATACAAAGCAATATGTTTTACTTTCTTTAAAATAATTTTTTATTTTCTTTACTAAAATTTAAATGCTAATGTTATAAATATAAATAAAACTTTGCAAGTTTCCATTGTAGTTGTAGAATTATACTGCTGAGTTATTCTCATTTTCAAGCTTTATCTGTTCTTCTTTAAAATTTGTTTTTAATTTTTACATTCTGTTATAGGCTATATAACAGAGGGAAAGTATGGCAATGGGTCAAAAAAAAATGCCCCCAAAATTTTTATATTTTTAGACTGAGGATGTTAGTGTATGTTTGAGGGGCACGATTTTGTTCATCCTGTTTTGAAGCTTAATAACTTCTGTGCTTTTTGTTGAAAATTTCTGAAATTTTGCAAGGAAGTTTGTGTATTAGGTGTAATGATGCTATTAAATTTTGATGATTAAGGATCGAGGGAGTGGGAAGATAGAGAGATCATGTGTATCTCCAGTATAGCCAGACTTAATGACAATTTTACTTCTTATTATCATTTACAATTTTTTATAAAACCCATTCATACCCTCAAAGTTAAGCTCCTTGCCATTTTATAATAGTTAAAAATATAAAAAATATTTACAATAAAATTTGATAACAGATGGCGCTACCAAATGTTGCCGAGAAAGTTAAGCAGCTCGTTACTGGATTTTTTTAAAAATAATAATTTAAATGTTATGATTATTTAGATTAAAGGTTTTGTGTGTGAAAATGTTATTCTATATATTTTCTAATATTTCTAATAAAAATATTTAAATTCTATACATTTTCAAGATTTATTTGATATTTTATTTTTCAAAAAACAGCATTAAAAATACACGTTAGTTCACAAACAAAAGAAGCATTGGACATGTTTGGATGTTTTAATATTGAGCTAAGAGGAGAAGTTGAAATGAAGGTATTTATTTAAATCTTCATAAGTATTATGCTTATAAAAGGAACAATTTAAATTATAAGTTATATAATAGAATATATTTTTAATGTACGGACGTCCTTTTAAGTAAAACAATTTTTAGAGGATTTAAATTCTTGTATTCAAAGTTAAATTGCTATTTTTATTCAATAAGACAGACAATCAGAAGGCAAACGAATAGAAATAAAATAGCAATAGTTGTTGTATACCAGCAATTTGATTTAAGAAGAATGTTTTTTTTCCCTTTAGGGAAAAGGAAAGTTGGTAACCTATTGGCTGTTAGGAGAACATTTTCCTGTTCATTACGAAGAAGCTGAACGGAGAAATCATGGATGTTTCTTAACCGAATAAAATGTACTTTCAACAAACAGAATAATTTTGGAGTTTCTACAGACTTATTGTGCCTTGTATCATAAGTGTCCTTTCACCATTGTGCGTAAATTTCATCACAAATTGGACAATTCATCACGGCATAAAGTATGAAAATTTTTTATAATTTTTTTCTATTTTTATATAATTTTATATAATAGAAAATATAAAATTTTATATGATTAAATATAATTTTTTTCTGTAGTTAATAAATAAATTTACGTAAATTTTTGACATTTCTTTTTTATTTCAAGAAGTTTTTAAATATATTCTTTCATGATCCCAAAGATTTGCCATTCGTAACGTGTCTGTTTCTTCTAAAGTGGGTGTCTGCTCTAACAGCAATAGTCTTATTTTGTGTCACTTAATACTTCGACTATTGATATTTATTGTTTCTTGCTGATCTTTCATCCCCAAAATTGTGTTTCTCTTACCTGTTCTCTCACCTACAGTGTCAAGTCACTTAAATTTTCCATTTCATTCTCGCCTAAATACTACATTTATTCTTAATTCTTAAATTTCTTTATTCCACTTTATGAGTATTTTTTTCTGTTTTCTTGTGTTCAACTGAATGTGACGTATAGTTAAATTCATCGACGTCAAATCACAGACCAAGTTGTTTCTACATGCACCTTTAAAAAAATATACAGTACATACCTTTATAGTGGCTACTAATTACGTCCGTGACGTCTTTCAAACTGGCTCTGATAGGTCTTCCGTTTATTTTCATATTCTTTTGATCAATTTCAATCCCTTCGTATCAACTTTAATCTTTAAGTATCCTGGACGATCCCTCAAACTATATAGGATTTGAAAGGACACAGACAAGGAAAACAAGATAACGGCCACTAACACGCTACGATATTACGGTCTGAATACTTTTTCTCTTTGCCTTTTTTCGTCTTTCCTTCTAACCTTGTACCGTTTGTTTTTCTTATTCTCGGATCAGGTGGATTCTCTGTTAGGATCTTCGTCCCAACATATAGGGGAGATCCTTGTACCTTGGGACACCTTGTACTTCGGGACAAGCTCGTCATTTGAAAAATAATATATTGAGAAGTAGTAAGTAGCGATATCTAGTAGCTATTTCATTACAACATTCAGGATGCATGACGTAAAGTCGGCTATTTTGACTAGTTTTAACGCTGTGACACGTTGTGTGATTTTTATAGATGTTTGTTTTTTTTACAATCCATTTGAATCTTGGTTTTAATCGAAATATTTTGAGGTGAGTAATTTAATTAAGGTACAGTTAGTTGATAACCACATTCGTAACCACTTATTTTAATAAATAACATTGGATTTCTGTAATTCAAAAATTATAACCATACTTTGTTATAAACAAGAGAAAATTGTACCTTGAGACAGTAAATTTTTTGTACCTTGGGACTGTCCCAAGGTACAAGGCGTTGCTTTTCTCAACTATTTATTTAATATTATTATGTTTACTTTTGTTGTTATGTTTCTGTTGGCCGCGAAGAAAAAGAATGAAGTGAATAAAAATGTTAAATTTGTTAAAAAGGAAGTTTTTGAGAAGAAAAAAGTTGAAGTTAGTAGCTCTGAGGATGAAATTTCTGTGAGGATCTTAGAGACTGACGACTCATGTGATGAAGTTCGAGAGTAAAATAATTGTGTGGGATGCGGTGAAAATTATTTTACTACTGTACTTCGAGCACAGAAGACTGGATTCAATGCGTTACCTGTCGATTCTGGGTGCGCGAAGATTGCACCTTTTTCGAAAATTACTGTCAGAAATGCGGTATTAATTCTAAAAAAATTAGTAAGTACAGTAGTAATATTTGTGACCTATATTTGTAATGACTATTCTTTTTCTTAATACAAAAATGAGATTATCTTTGGTTTTCAATCATTTAAATGCCTTCTACAGAACACTTAAGCTTTATACTTACCTGCATTTCCAGCATATAAAACATTTTTGTTAACTGATAAAGCTAATATTGTTATAAAGGAAAAGACTTGGATAAACTATCCTTTTTTTTCATCTGGCGGAAGTTAAGATTTACAAAAACGTTAGGATTGTTCGTGTCCCAAGGTACAAACATTGATGTCCCGAGGTACAATCCATGATTGTACCTTGGGACAAATATCTGCAAGTAATTATTTGACACTTTCTCATAAATAAAATAGCATAGGGTCAAGTGTTGCACTATATATAGTGATATTATTAATTACTAATAGAAATATTCAATAGTCATAGCTAAAAATCAATTAGAACTTAAATTATGAAGGTTTAAAGAAAAGTGTCCCAAAGTAGAAGGATCTCCCCTATACCGGGTGGCTATAATTAAAATACTCCCATGCAATACTATCTAGAGAGATAATTAATTAGCAGCTCAAATGCAACCAAATCAGGAATGAGATATTTATGTCAAAAATTATTACCAAACTCGCTGTTGGTAACAATTTAGTTGCTTACAGCACCACCAAAAGGCGCTGCTGTAAGCAACGAAAAAATAGTTTCTTTTGTATAAGAACGTGTGTTGCAGCCAAGTTCTGTCTATAACAGTGGGCACAACTGTTAAACATTATAAGTTACAATGGCCATCACTTCGATGCATTTCTTTGAAACTATTTTATGAAAATAACAGCAATGCTGTAGCTGCACTTTGGAAATTTTGCCATTGTGAGAATTTAATTCGAGAATTATTGACTGTATAATCTCTCAGCAGAATAATCATTTGACTTAACGAAACTGGACGTCTGTACCTTCAATCCGGTCTAAGGTGAAAATTTATCATTTCACAAGTGATTGATTGAAGATGTTACCGTAGCTATTGTTGAGCTGCTATTGAATAATGTTGCAGGCTTCAATAGTGCAATGTCATGACGGTTGTGTTCTATGAATAATATAGGAAGTACTGAGAAATTTACTGCATTGTTGTCTGTATAAGATCAGCCATTCCAGTACTTGCTTCTCACCATCAGGAAACCTGACTGACTTATGTGTTGACCTTTCTTGCTAGAAGTAGGTGTGTTATGGCCTTGGAACGATGCTCCTTTTCATCTCATTGAGATAGTTAACACCAGTAACTGTTAAATTTTGGTCACAGAAGATCCTTTGATTTTTGGTAGATTACACTGCGCGCGTGTAAAGTTACAGTCTGGTGTGGATTCACAACAGCATTTATTCTTTAACTGTTTTCGAAGACGCTAGTCCCTACGGGTCTTTGATATTGCTCTGTGACAACCCAGGGATGCCAAGAGACACACGACACTTTTGTCGTACTTCAGTTGCAACAGCGACAATGCCTTCCTAGCACATGCAATATGGTAGCTCCATATTGCTGTACGCAGCGTCCTATAACATTTCACTGATAACAGAGTGATTAGACATGCCCTTTCCATTTCCTTGCCACTCGTTTACCGGATTTAATCTGGATTTTTGGTTACGGAGACTTTTTATTGTAGTTTTCAGTGTTGCAAATTTGACAGTGTTGAAAGGATCTTTCAGTGATCTTTATATACCCGTGAGAAGGATCACAGAGGATTCATTAGTCAGTTTTTGAACGCACTGTTTATGATCATTCAACAATATCCCGTGCATCGCTAAGATTTAATAAAATAAAATAAAATATTTGTTACTTGCAGCGCCAAAATTGTCACTCTAATGAGTTTTGTTACTAATTTTAATTATTAAAGTTTCCATTTGGACAAATTTTAATACCATATTTAGGTGTCTGAATGAATTAAAATAAGCTGATTATCATTGATATGCTTTCATTGTAGTTTCCAGTAAATACGTGAATTATTTTCTTAGTTTTTATTTTTTTTAAATAAAAGCAGGATTGCCTGTTTAATTAGGAAATATAAACTTTAAAGTGAAGGTAACCGTGTAGTAGTAGGTCGTCACGAAGTTATAAGGATGCTCTTAAAAACCTTATTGATCATAATAATCTTTATTTTATTTCTATCTCAGCCTCTTCAGAAATGATAAATTGAAACTATTTTTACTTTCCCGGCTGTTCTAACAGAGGAAAGGTATGGCGAACGGTGAAAAAATGACCCCCAAGATTTTTACTTTTTCGGACTTCAAACACCTTGAAACATAAAGAAATGGGGGGGGGGACTTCGGAGTAATTTCCGTATGTATGGTTGTTAGTATGTATGTATGTTTATGTATGTATGTACTGTACAGTACGTGTGTATAGGCATGTGTCTGTTTGTGTGCGGCGCGATTTTGTTCACTTTCTTTGAAGTTTAATAACTCCTGTGCTTTTTGTGAAAAATTTCTGAAATTTTGCAGATAGGTTTGTGTATTTGGGGGATTGATGCTATTATATTCTGGTGGTTAAAAGTCGAGGGGAGATAAAGGGAGTCGTATGTATCTCCAGAGGAGTAACATTTAAAGACGATTTTATTCGTTATTAGCATTTACAATTCTTCATAAAACCCATCCCTACCCTCAAAATTAAGCTCTTTGCCATTTTATAATAGTTAAAAATATAACAAGTTGCCGAAAAAATCAAGCAATTCATTGCTGGATTTTTAATAATTAACTACACATGAAATAAATATATTGATTACTACAGAGGAAATAGAAAAAAAAACGAGCTATTTATTGTGACATCGTCACAATGCCGAGCTGCAATTTTTAATCATATTTTAAATTGAGAGTATATATTTTAAATCTAATTAATTGTAGTAGTATCTTCCCTCTGTACATCAAACTTTTCTTGTTAACAATAGTGTCATGCCGTTTACCTATCTATCTACGTTCGATAGAAAATTTTTCAATTGAAATAACGTGACTTCCGGTTCAAACCGAAAGTTTGTATATAGTTATAATATCGAAATAATATAAGCACAATTATTATGCAGGTATGCTGGATGTATACACTTCGGCAATCTGTAATTCAACAAGCGCCCTTACGAGATTTTTCTGAAATGGGGTGTAACATTTCCGATTAAAAATCGTTCTCCATCCATGGTTTAGGTCGTTATTTATATTCGTATATGTAATCCCCGATAACTCTGCTTAAATGATTTATATTCTAAACCATATACGGTTGGCCTAGATGTTTTTCACTTATCATAAAAATAATTCCAAAATACAGTAATAATATAATTATGAAGCAAAATGTAAAAAT